AGAAGGGTAAATGCTTGCAAGATTTTATTGCTTGTTGGTAAAAAGTAAAAACAACTTTTTGGTAGATGATCATGTTAATTTGATGCATAACCAACCTTAATTAGCACAGTACAAGTGATTACCAAACAACCAATTCCAATAAATACCCTACCAATCTTTAGTACCATCAAATTAATTAACCCATAAGTTTGGACTAAGACAATTACTAGCCAATAAAGTTGATATGCACATAAGCACATATGTGAAGTACCATGATAATGAGAACTTGAATGTGGCCCATAAGATGAGCCAAAACCTTGTACAACCACAAACTTGTCCCACAAAGTGAACAAACACATTATTTACCCTTTGAGCAAAAGGAATTTCTTAGGTGAGTAAAGTCTAAATAGACCATAGGCAGATAAGGAAGATGTAATGACCATTAAAATGGCTGCAACATATCCACATAATAAAGCGCCACCAATTTGGGTACAAAACCTAGTAAACTTATTGCAAACCTTCATCCATTGGAGACTTTTTTCGCCGGTAACCGCCAACATCGAGGCCTGAACTGCCGCCGTGTTGCCGGCAAAAACAATGTACGTTGCTACCTATATTTAAGAGATTCATGGAAAAAAAAATTCAGTCGAATTTGTATATTTTTTAACTCGAAATATGTATATTCATCTCTTTGTAACATACATGCATACATAGATACATAAATATACGAACAATGAAAGAAGTTGCAATTTGTGAAATTAGAACCATTTATATAGTTAGAGTTGTTAAACAAACCGAGGTGCTAGAGGGCTTGGCTTGTTAAGGTTAAAAAAAAAAAGATTTTTACGTGATTTCTTGAACTATTAGCTTAATTTGACGCGTTAACACTTGAATTCAGATCATTACTTTTAGTAAACGAGCGAAACTCGAGCTCGTTTATCAATTTAATTAGTTAATGAGTCGTGCTCAGCACGATCTGATAAAGGCTCGAGTCCGAGCTTGAGTATCAAGAACTCAAACTTGTAGATGAATGAGCCGACACAAGTTTGAGTTCTTGATACTCAAACTTGATTATCATAAAAAGATTACTATATATATTACATATAAGTTTGCTATAAAGTTAAAAGTTGATTCTAGAGTGGAGTCAACATTCTACGACAAGTAAAAAATACTATGTTATCTAATTACTAAAAAATATAGAAATAACTTATTTTAATAATATTTTTTACTTGTTAGGTACAGGAAATTGACTTCACTAGAGCAATGCTCCATAGCAAAACTAGAATAAATTATACTATTAGACATACCATGTGCATTTAGGGATCTATGGCTATTAATTTCCAATTGCAGGAAGATAATTTACTTTAAATCATATCATTAATGAGCGGTAGCAGCATTTATTTCTACAACGGTTTTCTAGTGATATCCATATGCTTCGATGTGGACAACTTGTTCGCTATCAACAAATTTATTTATGTATTTAAAATTTGAAGTTTCTCGATAATTCCTTTCAATATGAGTTAAGGTCCTTATTTCATCATGCCATCACGTGCAATTATATGTTATTATTAAGTAACACTAATAATATTATACTAATAAGAAGATTAAATTTAAACAACTCATGCAATTTACAGAAGATAAGGACCAATATATATAACATTATATATTATTCTTTTTCTTTTATAAATTTCATAAATGGAACTTCATGAATTAAACTATAGTAGCATGCAATATGTATGATTTAATCATATATATGTGCTTGGACTTTAAAAATGACCCAGAGCATGCACGCTATGCTTCATGCAGTAATTATTACAATCGAGTTGTTCGCAAGCATAACTCGGTTAAGCTCGAGTTCGGTTCAATCATTTATGTAAATGATATGAACTCGAACTATTAATTGAGCTCTTTTACTAAAAAAAATTGATTTATTTGCAAACAATACATTTTTTTTTTCTTTTGAAAACAACCTGTTTACAACTTAATTTAGATTTATCAAAACGAGCCGAGCCGAGTTTCACGAACTTATAAGAGCCTAGTCGAGTTCAAACATGAGATACCAAAACTATGTACAAACTTCTTCTACAACTGTTAGATTACACTTGCATGACCTATTTCATCTTTCAGATAATTTCCTTCTGGAACAAAGTATGATAAGTATCCTACTTAAAAACAACCATGCTCTTTTGTAATTTCCAAAATCATCTCGAATCCATTTAGTTTTCGTTCAACTATTAGCCCAAAATCTCAAGGAAGTTTTTGGGAAGACATGTTTAGTACTATTCAAAACTAATTCGTACCTAATCTATTTATAAACGAGTCATAAATCAAAACAACACAATTTAGAAATTAATTAATAACAAAACGATATGCAAATTTACCTTCCTAAAAAGTGAAAATTTAGTATAATTGCAATTAAAAATAAAATTTCATATATATATATATATATATAAAGAAAAATAAATTTTTAGATGAATGAAGTAATTTTATCTTTTTAACGGTAATCGGTCACCTGGTCCAATAAATAAACAGCCCAACCCACAAATCTATGAGATGCTGTGAGATCCTTTCTGAAGCCTGGCAACATGTAACCTCTCAAGAGTTGGAGCAGATTATAAGCAGCCACAGCAGTATCAATCCACACTATCACACTTAACAAACGCAAAACAAAATTAAACAATAAGATAAATAATCAATAAACCATTCATAATTATAAAATAAAATAAAATAAAAAACAACTCACTACAAAGCATTCATGTCTCTGAAAGTTGCCTTTTTGGTTAGAGTGAAGAAGAGAGTTTTTGTTTGGGAGTCAAATGCCACCAAACAAGCCGTTAGTGCCAACAAAGCCACTGAAATAATCCTAAGTAAAGCTTCCATGTCCGAATACAAATTCATTAATCTTCTCATCTTATGAATACACACCTATATAGAGAGAGGGAAAGGAAAAAAAGGATTGTAATGGGAGATTACAAGTAGAAGATGGGCCAAGTGCTTTCCATAAGTGTCCAATTGAGGTATTGAATAATTGGAGCCCATTTAATTGAATGTGGGCCATGTGGCCCTGTGAACAAATTGTAAAATGGGGGGTTTGCTTAATTTTTTTAAGGAACTGTACCACATCATGCGGTGACCATATAAATTATAACATTACTGAATTCAAGAACGTTGCAATTTACAACTTCTACTTCCCAACCCATTTCATGTTCATGCACGTGCATATATTAATGTCTTTTAACTCTAATTTTCCTTTTTTCTGCAGATTACAAATACATTCAAATTCTGATAATTTTATCAATTTGACCACTTCTATTTTGTTTATAGCACCTCATTTCCCAAAATAAATCCAAAAACTAATTACAACCCAGCAAAACTCTCAACCTTAGTTTAACAAAAAGAATAAAAATATCATCAATACCCAAATTAAGCTTATTTATTTATAAGCAATAGTGTACACCAAACATGGCACAAGCTCCGATACGTATTTATACAAGAAAGCACACCTAAAATTAAAAACACTAATCCTAATTAATTACCATAATAGCATTCTTTGGGGAACCCCTGTGGGAAGCGTTTGGCATCATTGCAGTAGTTATAAACCATATAATTCTCTCGCACCCACTTGAGCTTTTTTATTCCAATTGGGTCCAAATTCTGCAACGTCCATATTGGGCTTCTCATTGTGGTGCAATGGGCTGGTTTAGACCCATAGGACACAGCGCAGGCCTTATCTGCATTGAAATTTCTGTATAAGGCTTTGAATGGGGCCTGAGCCCAATCAGTCTTGACAAGTCCTCCTCTTGTGGCCCATTCATCCGCATTCCATATGCTTGAGTACAATTTCATGGGCTTGGTTTTGGGGAATGGGACTCCCATTTTTTCCAGATTCTTGAATTCTCTGAGGGGTATGTTGTCCACTGAGAAGCTTAGGGTAATAATAAAAAATAAAAAAATAAAAAAAAAAAAAATTGAGCTTTTTTTTAGTGATTATTATATATTGGGAGCTTGATATATTTGTCATATTGCATGTCACATTGGTTTTGCCTTTGGTATGAAACATTCCTTTACTTTTTTTTAGGAAAATCATTTCAATTTAATCAATGCAATTTATAACAACTGTGATATAAATAGGACTTGGCAATTTGAATGAGATCAATTTAATTAGCACTTCAAAATAATTGCATGCATATTTCAACAAAATCATCAACAGAAACAAATAATTTCAACAATAGTATAAACGATCGGAAAATTTGGAAAATTTGAAAAATTATCGTTATAATCATCAAATTTCATATGAAATTAGAACTTACACAAGTTATGCTTTATTAAAAATATGTGGCAATAATACTTACACAATAGTTTGAGGAGTCCAAAGAAGTGCATAAGTATGAAAATCACGAGTTGGATCAAACCACAAGTGAAATTGCTGCTCTTTATCTCCTTTGCCTTGAGCATAAACATTGGTATGAACTGTGTAAGGCTCACCACTTAAGTTCCCCAAGAACTCAAAATCTATCTCATCATGATCAGATGACCTTCCAGAAGACAACTGCCCCCAAAAAAAAAAACAATTAAATTCAACAAGTAGCAAAAACATTAAACAGATCATAACTATAAGACAAACTAAAAAATTAAAAATTTAATCACTTTAAAAATCGTGTAATTAACAATTTAACATAGTATTAAACAAGGAACATTCAATCACTGACTATAGTCAGACTGCAGGTCAATCATCGAATTTTTAATCATTTGATCGATATACACACGTAGCTACATGAACATATATTGATCCAATAGTAAAATATTCCAATTACCGCGCAGTAACTTATAAATCTACCTTAAATCATGAGATGGTAAAGAAAAAAAAAGAGAGAAAACAAACATAAAGGGCAGTGACGGTGCCAGCTGAGTTTCCGGGCACGAGCTTGAGTTGCATTTGGATCTTCCCAAATAGATATTCGTTTTTGGACTGGAAACCCGACCCGGAATAGTTGTCTAGGGAGAGAGTGAGAATTTCCCCGTTGTTGACGATTTTGCCCCTGCCCTCACCCCAAGTGACGTCAACATGTTTCGAATAGTTACTGTTACTACATGAAACAACTGATAGCAGCAGTGCACTAATTACGAGTAAAGAGATTTTCAAAATTAAGAATTTTTTTAAAGAGGAAAAAGGAGACACTTTTTTTTTTTTTTTTATCTAATTTGGTTTTGTTCAATGTTGTGTTTTTTCAATTTTACCTTTGTAGCTTATATAGAAGGGTTTGAGAGTTCTTGTACAATTGTTTGTACTTCTTTGCACTTAATTTGTAGGCTTTCTCAAGAAGATGAGATGACATGTGCAAATTTGAAGAGGTGATTGAAAAGAGGAGAGCTGGGAACAGCTAGCTCTGAAATTATAGATAAGCATAACACATATATTTTATATTGTAAGCAAATATAGATTTTATTGCAATTCACTTCATTTCAATTTTATAAATATATTAATAAAAATGAGCTGTTACTAGATTGACAACTTCAAAATGGTTCAGAAAAAATTGAGTATTTAAAAATGACTGGGGGCCGTGGGGGTTGGGAATTTTCTACTTTTATTATAAAAATGAGTACTGCTTAAACATATTTACATATTAATTCGGTATAAAAACAATGAAAATATCTTGGAAGCACTACTAGAGATGTCATTTACAACTTTCATGTGACCACCTTTGGAAGATACGCTACTACTAAGTTGAAACAATACCTGATGCAAATTGCTAAGAAAAGACAATTAAAAGTGAATTGGGCCTTTGACAGATTTTTATGTTTGTGCATTGGGCTTTGAGTTACCATAATGGGCTTTAATAAAAGAATTCACAATCAATCCTGTTTCGTTCATATATTTTGAGTTTATCCTACTATTAGGCAACACTAATTTAAAAAAGGTTAAAAAATAGTAACATTTTGAAAATAAAGGAGAGTGACCGTTGGAACAAAACCAGCAACAGCGGTGAGAAACTCTTTTGCGGCGTTAAATTCATTATCCAAATGCTTATTTGACAAACTACTAATTGAATATGTTAGAGAAATCAATTATTATAATCAACTATCTGCTAATACAATCAATTATCAGCTATCCCCTATCATTTGGTAGTCAAATTAAGGTTGGCATCAAATCCTTGGACCATATTTAAATCCTTAGTCAGATTTCAACCCAAGCAAACCATTCATGTATTCCATTTATTACAATATAAAGAACTTTATGGTTATACATTACAATGTAACATCAAATTAGTATCACTGCAAAAGTATAAATAGCTTCATTAACATGTACTTTCTCATTAACCAGTGGTATTGCCAACAGTACATTCAAGAGGAAGGCCTTGGGCAAAACGCTTTGTATCGGCACAATAATTGTAAACCATGTAATTTCGTTGCACCCATTTAAGCCTGGCTTCACTTGCTGAATCAAGTTGATCTTGAGAAAACCATGGATTTGTAGAGTTATTGCTGGGTCCAGATGGGCCGCAGGAAGATTTTGTAGATTTCCAAACACAAGCATGGGCCTGAAAATTGCGTAGGCTGGCCGTGAAGGGTGCTTGAGCCCAGTCTATTTTGATGAGCCCACCTCTTGTGGCCCAATCATCCGCATTCCACAGGCTTGAGTACACTCTCATTGGTTGACCCGTTGGGAATGGAATTCCTCGGGATTCAAGGTTCTTGAATACTCTGATGGGGGTACCATCCACGTAAAAACTGGCATAAGGTGGACAAAAAGGAAATCAATTTATCTAAAAAACAAGATTTTGTTAGTAGTGTATTAGAATAAGTTTGGCAAAATCCATTGGGAATTTACTATTGTTGGAAAATTGAAATGTGAGTTTTGTAGACCACACCATTTCAACATTTAATTTATATAAAAAAAAATTTGAAATAATTATAAAGGAACCAATAATAAGCACAAAAATCAGTCTACAGAACATTGAAACGAAATGAATAGATCATTTTAACAACACAATAAAAGGTAACACCAACATTTGTTGAACGAAATGAATAGATCATTTTAACAACACAATAAAAAGTAACACCAACATTTGTTGAAATTAGTAAAATAAACAATACAATAAAAAATAACACAAACATTTGTTGAAATTAGTAAAATATTTTAATAAAAGGTGAAATTAGTAAACTATTTTGAATGATAGAAGGTTTTACTAATCCATATAGGGAGTGATAGATAAAATAATTGGCCATTGGATGTCAAAATTAAATTAGATATAAAGTTTGGAGTGGAAAAATATAAATATTCTGTATGTTTAATTTTAGATAAATAATTAAATACACAAAGATGTGAAAAAATATAAAATATATTTATGTGTTTAATTAGATCTAAAATTTGAAGCAAGGGAAAAATATAAATATACTACATGTTTAATTTTAGATAAATAATTAAAAAATATAATATATAACTACATGTATTATATTTATATTTTTCCATCTACTTGCTTCAAATTTTAGATCTAATTTAATTTTAGATAAATAATGTTAAATATTTAGTTTCAAATTATTTATTTACCGTTATATATGACTTAATTACGGATGGGTAAGTCTATAAGCTGGTATAAGAAATATTATATGTTAAAATTACCATGTATTTGAAAATTATTTATAAGTACACCTTTACTATAACTAATTATATTTCTGTTAATATTATTTTGTCAACTGGTATATGTTTTTTGCCAACTATATTTTCATATATAAATTATATCTTGATATCATTCGTCCAAATTGCATCATACATACTAGCTAGATATGGCCTTGTAAATTGGTAAACAAAGATATTTAATTTGTGAAAGTTATTTTTTTCTTTTTCTTTTTTAAGTTTCATCCCGAGCGAGGCTAAGCCGGGGTACTTTAGTATTCCACATANNNCATGACTGAATTTTGGTAATAATAATTTGAATAAACTTACATTATATTATGTGGGTTCCAGATAACAGAATATGTGTGGAAATCTGCAGTTGGATCAAACCACATATAGAATTGCTGTTCTCTATCACCTTCTCCTTGTATGTAAACATTTGTGTGTACAATGTAAGGATCCCCACTCAAATTACCCAAGAATTCAAAGTCTATCTCATCATGTCCTGAGCCTTGAGAAGACAACTGCAAAATTGCCATTCACAACAAGATTACATTAATTTCTCAAAGTAGCTAATAGGATTTTTTAAAGTCTTATATCTCAAAATTTTGCAAAGTAGGAATTAATTAGTTAATTAATCGACTCACATAGTACGCGATTACTGTGCCAGCCGAGTTTCCAGGTACGAGCTTAAGCTGCATTTTGAATTTTCCAAATAAGTACTCATGTTTGGATTGGATGCCTGAGCCAAAGGTCCGGTCGAGTGACAGAGTTAGTAGCTTGCCGTTTTTGAGCACTTTTGCATGATCTTTGCCCCACGAGACTTCGAAATCTTTGTTGAAGTTTCCAGCGAAACAAGAAGCAAATATTGAGGTGATTAAGAGAATGAGTTTCAAAAGTGTGGATATAAAGTAAAAGTTCATCTTTGTTTTGTAGTGTTATTTTCTTGACTTTGAAAGTGTTGGGTTTAGGAAGAATGTTGGGGAGTTGGTTATTAGGACATGTATATGTGTATTTACAGGTAGATTATATGGAAGCTCCATGAAAGGTTGATGATATCATGATGGTGATGATGTGATTAATTACAACTTAGACATCACTAAACTTTGTTGTTAATGGCTTCCTCCACCTAAGTAAGAGGAGGTCCATTTTGGATAGTGGGATTGTTAGAAAACTTGATAGTGAATAGACTAGAATAACTTCTAATGCTCTTTTTCCATTGTTTCTAATTTATTTATTTTTTTTTTTTTTTAAACCAGAAGGCAAACAATATTGTAACAAATATCAACATTGATATATACTTAATTGGATGTTGGAACTCTTTCCTTAATAAAGTTAGCCGAGAAGGTCCAATGAGTTAAAAGGCTTGGTAGGATTTTGTTCGAGGGATAAAGACTAGTTAGATCAGACTTTTTTTCCCTTAAAAAAAAGTAATCTTACAAGTTGGTCTATAGCTAACGCACCAACTAGAATTGGTCACCGAATAAATCTTCTTATTACTTAAACATAACAACTCAGTGTCACTCATTCTATCAAATTCACAGCATATAAGTGAATTTAAGATAGTTGCATAAACCAAGTTGGTCTATAGCACATAGTTGCATACAGAATTAATTTGACTTGTCCAATCTCACTATAACTTTTATCCGAGTAAAATATAGCAAACAAGTGTGATACATTTTTAGGTCTACAAACTTGACCAGCAAAATTGAATTTGAACAAAAATCAATGAACTGTCCTCTAATTAATCTCACATTCAGGGCTAGGTCCTTCCGGAAACCTCCATGTATCCTTACAATAATCGTAAGCCATGCGCTCTTCTTGCAGCCTCTTCATCTTCTCTTGGCTTACCTGATCCAACTCCATTGTCAGAACAGGTTTTGTCCTGAAATCCGCGGGCGTGCAAGAACTGCTTCTTCTTCTGAAAAACCAAATGCAACCATCGGCCACGAAATCTCGAAAGGAAACCTTAAATGGGGCTAACGACCAATCTGTTGTAACTCTTCCGCCCTGCGTTGCCCAATCATCGGCGTTGAATATATTTGCATATACTCTCATGGCTCGATTTTTCGGGTACGACACACCAGATTTTTCATCGTTCTTGTATTGCCTTATTGGGATGTTATCAACGTAGAAGCTGCGAGTAAATGAATGGGAAATTAATTAGAAATATTACATGAATAATTATTTAGTGCATGCTTGGATACAAATTTTTCCAAAAATTTCCAATTATCTTTAACCAATCCATTTTTTTTAATTCAACTTTAACTCAATCTCACTATCCTCAATATTACCAATATAATTAAATAATATCACTCAATCAGTCTTACACATTACATCAACTTTAATTCGGTATTCATACACTCAAGTAACCATCACTCCAGATCATCTCTCTCATTATTTTACATCAAATCAGCTTTAATTATTTTATTTTAAATATTTTAATACAAACTTAAAATTTCACTAACAATTAGCCATACCAATTTCTTCAAAATTAACTATACCAAACCAAAAAATGTAAACAAAATCAAAACATCTTATATCCAAGCATACAAATTACTAAAAAACTATATTGCTAAATGCTAGCCGTGTCGAATTATAATAACTCTTGAACACACTTACATAATGCATTTGGGATTCCAAAGAATCGAGTAGGTGTGGAAATCTTCGGTCGGATCAAACCATAGCAAAAACTGTTGTTCCCTATCACCTTTGCCTTGAACGTACAAATTCGTGTGAAGTGTGTAGGGGTTTCCACTCGAATTCCCCAAAAACTGGAAAAGTATTTTGTCGTGCATATCACCTTCGGATTCTGATGACAACTGAAAAAGATATTATTACTAATTAGTTAAACAACAAATAGAGACACATTTTATAATTTATATTATATGGGTATTGCAAGGATAACACAAAGACAGATAAGTCTTACGAAAAAAGTTGTAACTGTGCCGGCAGAGTTGCCGGGGATAAGCTTGATTTGCATGTCGATTTTTCCGAACATAAATTCTTTCTTGGACTCAATGCCAGAGCCCGATAGCCTGTCCATTGACAGAATAAGAAGCTCGCCATCCTCAAGTATTTGAGCCCGATCTGCGCCCCACGCAGTCACAAAATGCCGGTTAAATGTACCGTTGCCCACATATATAGTTGGCCTGCCGAAAATGTTTAACGTTTTTTCAGATGCAATCATACCATTACATGAATTTTGTACTAAATTACGTAATATAATATAAGTTGCATCATGTGTTGCAAATTATTAAAAAAAAAAAAAATTCAATTACATAAAAAGCTTTCTTAAATAAACTCTTGTGGGGTGTATGTAATCTCCATATACTCGATGCTTTGACAAATAGTACGAATTCTTGTGTGATGCGACCTAACTGTTGTCAGGTCGACACGTACATTTGTTAACAAAAATACAACACAATTTTATCATGTTATGACAAAAAATTTAATATGTACTTAACATTTGTGTTAAATGTAGAAATACACTCTTATGTTACTTTAATTTACGCCCACCAGATTAAGTATTTCCAGAGATCTTTTGAGTGTGTCATAAAGAAAAGATCAAAATATAAGTCTTCTATCCAAAACAGCATATAATTTCGAAAAAAACGTAAACATAAAATAGTCTCTTAATAAATTGTTATTAATTTTCATCGACTCATACTAGATAAGGGAACTTATTCTGTGTCATATTTAGTCTGCTTCCTTTCCAAATACACTATCCTTTCTTCTCAGATTTGGTCCATTTCATTTCTTAAGCTGCAGATCTTATGTGGACAGTGTCCTCTTCTTTTCCACACACACCCTTTAATAATCTTCCAATTTATCCCCTAATTATTAGGTAAATTACTATGCGATTCCTTAAAAATACTAGTTTTTCCTATAATTAGCTCAATTTTACTACTCATTCATATTCTTTCAACAATGACAACATTAGACAGACCAACAACAGGCATCCTCAACTTCACCATTAATGTAGTCAAAATGCAGAACATGACAAGAAAACGAAGTAGATAGCAAATCAAAGTTATTCCTCAAGCATTAGTCAGATCATACTTTTTTCTAACGAAACGCACCAATAAAACGTCAGATTCATATTCATTCTGTCATCAAAGGTATGTCATTTCACAGTGAAAATATCCATATTTGTCTGGAAAAAAAAAAAATCAAGTCCGGCTAACATTTAGATATGCTCAAGTTAATTTAGATCTGCAACTGCAAAAAATTTATTTCAATAATTAAATCAACATCATAATAATTGCATCTAGCAATAAAAATATATTACCTTGTGCTTTCTGGGTTACGTCGAGCAACAGAGAGTTTTTGAAATATAACGATATCCACCTACAATGATTAACCAAAAAAACAAAAATAAATAAATAAGTGAAGAAAGAATAAGGAAAACTTACTGAAATGAGCAACTGAAAATTACATGAAGGTACCTTGAAGATAAAAATGGCGAAAAAGAGTGTGAAGGCGAGGTAAGGGATTAGCTTGTGAGGACGAAGGTGTTGGGAGCCCCTCGCTGCCGGTGGCATAATAACAGCTGGAAAATTGGAACACAAAGATACGACTGTTTGGGGAAAAAAATGTATCTCCTTAAACTTTTGTCTTAAAACGAAACCATTCACATGCCTAGATGGGTCCTCCCCTCAATTAAAAAATTAAAAAATAAATAAATAAATAAATAAAATCTATAGACCAACTTGAAATGTGAGGATAAAATGCAAAGTTAGTTAAATGTGTATTTATTGTGTAAAAAAGCTATGGGCTAATGTATACTGTATAGTGATGATTAAGGATCCATTGTCTCCATATCTTTTCCTTCTCATTTCCTTTTTTAACTTGATTAAGCAAGCAGAGTCTTTGGGTAGATTTCAAGGGATTAAAATTAGTTGACATGCTCCAGTGATTTTTCATCTTTTCTTTGCTGATGATACAATTTTATTTTGCAAAGCAGATATGCATCATGGACATTTGATTCTATCCTTTCTTGATTTGTATGGTAATGATTCTGGTCAAAGGGTAAATTTTGATAAATCTTCTATTTCTTTCTCTAAAAACACTTCAGTGGATGTTGAGAGAGCTATCTGCAATCTTCTTGCTGGTATTTCTAGAGTTAGATCCACTTCTTATTTGGGTTTACCTCTGGGTATTGGACAGAGGAAGAGAGAGATCTTTAAGTTTGTCAGTGAGAGAGTTAAAGAGAGAATTGGAAATTGGAAAAATAAATTTTTTTCTGAAGCAGGGAGGGACACTCTAATCAAACCAGTGCTTGCTGCATTACCTACATATGTGATGAGTTGTTATAGGATTCCTGTGAGTATTATTCAGGATATTTGTAGGGACATTGCAAGTTTTTGGTGGGGTAAGGGGAATGGGGGAAGAAAAAAACTTCACTGGGCTTCTTGGAAGAGATTAATAGACACAAAAGAAGAGGGGGGTTTGGGATTTAGGGACCTTAAAGACTTCAATGAAGCTCTGCTGGTCAAGCAGCTATGGAGAATAATTTCTAGACCCAATTTATTGGTTAGTAGGTTGTTAAAAGGGAAATATTTTTGGAAAGATAGGTTGGCAGATATTAAAGCTAAGGGTTCTGACTCATGGCTTTGGAAATCTTGGCTTGGGGCTAGAAAATCTCTTTACTTAGGTCTCAGATACTAGGTAGGGGATGGGAAGACTATTTCAGTGTGGGATTCTCCTTAGGTGCCTAATAATTCTAATTTTAAACCGACCTGTTATTTTGAGGGAGATAAAGAGAGGCTGAAGTGGGTTAGTGATCTTATTATTCAAGAATCTAGAACTTGAGATAGGGACTTAATTCTCCAGACTTTTAACCCAGTGGATGCAGGAGCTATTCTTTCCATCTCTCTGAACAGGCAGGAGAACAAAGATCAGCTGATATGGCATGGAAATAAGAAGAGTCATTTTTCAGTGAAGACTGTCTATAAGGCAATCAGAAAATCAAAAAAGAGATTGAAGCAGGAGATTGGGACTAGTGAGGAGAAGAAAATGTGGAAAACTCTATGGGGTTTAAAGATCAAGGCCAAAATCAAATTCTTCTTGTGGAGGTGTTGGCATGGGCATATAGCAGCAAAGGAACAACTGATCAAGAAAGGAATGGAGATACAACCTTGGTGTGACAGATGTGGGGAAAGTGAGAAGAGTTTAGAGCATCTGCTTCTTCATTGCATTAGAGCTCAGAATTGTTGTAAAATAAGTGGGTTAGACTGGAGACTGCAGGAAGGGACCAATACAAAATTTCAGAGATGGTGGATGAATGTATATGCAGTCAAAGAGACACATGTTAAGGAGGATAGACTTAGGTTTTCAGCATATATATTGTGGAGAATATGGAAAAGCAGAAACCGTTGGATGTTTCAAACGGAGGAAGAAAGTGAAGTACTACTGTTGCATTAGCTAGGGGGGAATGGATGGAGGTTCAGAGCCTAAAGGAGAAATCAAAATTATGGGGATTACACAACCAGCTCTCAGGGGAATCGAGTGTAGGGCAGTTTTCCAAGGGGGTAGGGCAGCCGTGTTGTTCTGTCAATGCCACAGGTTCTACTTCTGGTAAGTTTGGTGTTGGTTGTGTAGTCGTACATTAGGGGATGAAGTGTTTAGATTTTCTGGTGTAGCAGCCGCTAGGGGATCAAGTTGAAGAAATGTTGATTGCTATCAAAATATCCATGCAACAATTGAAGGATAATAATTTTAATAAGGTGGTCTGTTGTATTGCTAACCTTACTGTATACAGGTTGTTGCAAAAGGAAGATACAACACATTCTCACTACAAGGATATTTTGGATGGTATTTTGCACATGGATATGAAGGAAAAATTCTGTACTTGTTTTTATCCTGGTTCTTGTTATTTTAGTTTAGAGATTGCTTCAATAGCGGTTTACTGCCTGTAGTGTGTTACAGTACCGATTTGGTTAGACTTGTGTTATGTAATATTTTATGTTAACCATCTGTCCAGTTGGACATTTGATTGTAAGACTTATTTGAGTTTGATAATATTAATTTTATCGTTGG